CTGTCATTATTACCTAATTATAGTGATGATTCAAATCATGTGGTTTTGTCTGTACACGTTTTCTTTGTTGCCAGTGTTTTTATAGTGGCTGATTTTGTCAAATTTTCTGTGTTTTATCTACAATATTGTGGTAGTATTTGTGAACCTATAGCAATAACTCTTTTGGGAATTAAGTAGTAATTAAAAGAAAAGGAGAAAAATTAAAAAAAAAAAAAGGCTTCTACTCAGTTACTGGGAGCTCTAGTGGCATAGTGCCTAAGGCATTTGACTGCTAACCAGAAGGCTGGTGGTTCGAACCCACCAGCCACTCCTCAGAAGGAAGGTTGGGCAATCTACTTCCGTAGTGATACTGCCTCAGAAACCCAAGGAGGGGTCACTATGAGTCAGATCCGATTCGATGGCAGTGAGTTTGGTTTGGTACTCAGTTACTAATAATGTTGTAACTAATGATGTTGTAACTCAATGTAGAAAGATTTTACAAAATAATTTTGTTGTTAGTATTCATCTAATCTATGAAATAATACATTTAAGCAATTTACAACTATATCACATATTTTTTCTATGGTTAATAATAAACATTACTAAGGATTCTGTGGGAGCTCTGGTAGCATAGTACCTAAGGCATTTGACTTCTAACCAGAAGGCTGGTGGTTCAAATTCACCAGCTACTCCTCGGAAGGAAGATGGGGCAATCTACTTCCGTAGTGATACTGCTTCGGAAACCCAAGGAGGGGTCACTATGAGTCGGGTCTGACTCAACGGCACATAACAACAATAACAAGGATTCTGTATGGTATGGTGCAGGAAGGAGGAAGGGGTGACATCAATGCCAATGACAGCACTAGCACTGATCCTTTAGTACCTGACTACTCAAGTGAGTTTGGGTATCACTTGAGGGATTGTCAGAAATGTAGACAATCTCAAACCTACTAACCAAAAACCAAATTCACTGCTGTCAAGTCGGATCCGACTCATAGCGACCCCTTCTCTGGGTTTCCAAGGAGGTATCACGACGGAAATAGATTGCCCAACCTTCCTTCTGAGGAGTGGCTGGTGGGTTTGAACCACCAGCTTTCTGGTTAGCAGTCAAATGCCTTAGACACTATGCCACCAGAGCTCCTCTCAACCTTACTACAGACTTATTATTGTTAGGTACCATTGAGTCGATCTTGACTCATAGGACCCCATGTGACATAGTAGAACTGCTCCATAGCATTTCTAGACTGTGATCTATACAGAGGAAGATTGCCAGGTCTTCTATCAGAGTTGCTGGTGGGTTGTAATTGCTGACCTTTCAATTAGCAGCTGAATACTCAACCATTATGCCACAGGGCTCCTTATATTCATAGAATGGAATAATATTCAGCAATAAAAAGGAACAAACCACCGATACATGCAACATGATTGACTCTCAAAAACATTAAGCTGAGTGTGACACAACCCTTACATAAAAGAGCACATCTTGTATCATTCCATTTATTTGAAACTCTAAAATAGGCAGTATTAATCTATGGTGGAAAAAACTAAAAGCATATCAGATATGTAATTTAAAAGTGTTTTCTCCCATTCCATAGGTTGTCTTTTCATTCTCTTGATGGCATCCTTTGACGTACAAGTTTTTAATTTTAATGAAGTCCCATTTACCTATTTTTTTCTTCTTTTGTTGTTTGTGCTTTGGGTATGTCATCTAAGAAATCATTGCCTAATTTAGGTCATGAAGACTTACATGTTTTAAGTTTATAGCTTTAGCTCTTATGTTTAGGTCTATGATTCAATTTTTGTACATGGTGTGAGGTAGCGATCCATCTTCAAGCTTTTGTACATGGATATCCAGCGTCCCAGCACAATTTGTTGAAGACTATTTTTTTTTCTCCATTGAATTGTCATGGCATCCTGAACTTACATTTTTAATTTTGCCAAATTGTCCTCAAAAGAGGTTGCACTGGTATACTCCCAACCATAGAAGGTGAGTGCCTGTATCTCAGATTGGGTGTCCATTAGGAAGGACACTGATAAACTGAAGCCCATTAGGGACTATGACCAGTGTGGAGTGGGTTTGAAAGAGCATGATATGAGAGAAAAATAAAGGAAAACATGAAAATTCTGAGTGAGTGAGATTGCCCTGCGTTTGAAGCCTTATTCTGCCCCTCACTGGCTGTGTAGACTTGGGCAGTTATCTGAACCTTCCAAATGAATCTGTTTTATACATTTACCTTTTTAATACATTTATCTTTGTAGGATTGTTGTGAGGAGTAAATGTATGTAAATGTCCCAGCCCATGACAGACCCTCAATAAATAGTAGCTATTGTGACATTCCTGTATGTGCTATATGTAGCTTAGACTACATGATTGTGAGTGAGCATCACAGTAGGATCATGTTGGAGCCATTTGGTGTGAGATTTTTAATGACTAATCATGTGTAGAAACTTGGATCCACTGGTATGTGTCACTGTCACCCAGAGCAAGGTGGTACTTGAAGTCTTTGCTGTGACATGTTAAGGGAGAGAGAGGCTGTGACTGAGATTGAGTGTGACAGCAAGACAGTACCTGAGTGACAGAATGGAACAAAGTGCAGGGAGCCAGGCTGCTCTGGCAAGCATGTGGGTCCCCAATAAGGGCTGCTTAGGAGTTCAGAAGTCAGGCAGGTGTCTCTCTATACTACCCCCTTCTTTAGATTCCCTTCCCTACTTCCTAAAAAAGCAGGTAAGGAAGAATTTAACATATGGAAAGGGGATTTTTTTTTTTCCTTTATATTTTGAGAATATACATAGCAAAACATACACTAACCCAATAGTTCCTATATTCTTGGAAGCTCTGCAACCACCCTTTTTCGAGTTGTTCCCATTAACATAAACTCACTGCCCTCTAACATTCCTATCTAATCTTTAGAGTTGCTGTTGTCAATTTGATCCCATATTGACATTTCTTAAAAGAGTATAATGGTTAATTAAGGCAGACTTTTTTTTTTTCCCCCCACTAGTTAAGCTGAACTATTCAGTTTTAAGATGACTTCAGGATATTTTTGGTCTAAGGTTTAAAGATTATCCAGGGCAAGAGATCCAGGGGTTTATTCACCCCTCATGGCTCCAGAAATTCTAGAGCCCATAAAAATTTGAAATTCTGTTCTGCATTTCCCCCTTTTGAACAGAATTCTTCTATGGAATCTTTGATCAAAATGTTCAGTATTGGTAGCCGGGTACCATCTAGTTCTTCTGGTCTCATGGCAAAGGAAGTAGTGTTAATGGAAGCAATTAGCCACACATTCCATATCCTCCTCCTAGTTCTGATTCTCCTTCTTCCTCTGTTGTTCCAGGTGAATAGAGATCAATTGTTGTGCCTTGGATGGCAGCTTGCAAGCTTTTAAGACCTCAGACACTACACAATGAACTAGGAGGTAGAAATGAAGTACTAAACACGTTATTAAGCCAATTGAAACCATGACCCTAAACCTCTAAACCAAGAAATCAAATCTCATGAGGAGTTTGGTTGTATATAAGCAGTGTCTGGAAAGGGGATTTTAATCTGAGTGCAGAACCCACAATACCTAAGCAGCTGTGTCTCAAGCACTTTTGGTGCTGTCACCCATGGCTCAGAAAAAGAACCTGATGGAAAGGTGTGCAAAATAACTAAGGGAGGACTCGACTGGTCTCTCCTCCTCTCAGCTTTAGTCTTCAGAGTGGCCGATAAAAACAGAATTGAAACCTAAGCATTCTTTCCTCCTCTCTGTCCCCTGGGGGAGGGAAGAGAGGAATAAACGCCACATCTCATTAAGCTTTTACGAGCTCAGGCAGGCAGAGTGGGCCCACACCGGAAGCTGGTGGAGAGGGTGGGAGCGGGCTGTAGGAGGACTCCCTAGCTCTCAGGAAAGAGCTGTTCTAGACCTTGAAGGCCTGCTCTGCAGGAAATGAAATAAGGGGTTAACAACAGATACGGGGGTAACAGCTGCTTTTATTAAAAATGAAATCCAAAGGGCAACTGGGATAGGAGGTTGGGTAGATGTGAGGACAACAGAGAAGCAATGGCTGAGATAGGACTGTAGACCTATTGAAATTGCCTGGAAGTCAGCTCTGAGGCATGAGAGTCCTGAGGTGACACAGAAAAGGGAAAGCTTTTTGTACCATATGAGGCTGAAATAATGAGGTCTTAAACACAACCAGGAACACTATTGCCCCGGATCCAAAGTGACTTAATACAAGGTGTGAAAGATTGGCATGAGTATTATTAATTTGAATAGGGGAAATGAGAATTTTCTCTGAACTCAAAAAGATGAAAGAATTAAAACCATGATTAAGGCTGTACAGTGATCTGGAGTGTAGGGGTGGGAGAGAGAATAAATACCCTAGTGACCCACATATAAAACAGACCACAAACAGGGGAATGGGACTTGAGGTTAATGGAGGGCCATGTTGCCTATGCTGCCATGGAAGATAACAGTGCCACAATACTACAAGGACATCAGGAAGCACTGCCACCCACTCCCTCACCAGGAAGTGGTGAGGGCAAGGGGCTAGAGGGTATGAGGTGCCAACAGTGAAGCAGCCTGGGCTTCAGCAGGGCAAGAGTACCCACTAATGTACTGAGACATAGGGATGGGGAGCCTGGCCCTGGCTTCGGGGGTCTGTGAAGAGAAGGCAGGCAGAGGGGGAATCAGCCACCAAGGCAATGCTTGTAACATTGCCTGACCACAAAAGGGTAGCAGCAGACCCAGAGCAACAGTCTTCCCAGGCCAAGGGGCGGGCCCTAGGTCATTCTTCACCATCTGGCTGGAAAAGTGTGGTGTTCTGGGATTTAAAAGCCACACAGCCAGACTCCAGGGTAAGGTCCACTTTAGCCAGTTAAAGAGACTGTCTGCCTGCCTCCCAGCTGGGGAAGGTGGCGAATCCTTGAGGCTTGCTCGGTCCTGAGCTCTGGGTATCTTCATGGAAGCAGAGTAGTAAGTTAGTGTTAAGAAAAGCATCCAGCAAGGTAAGAGGGGCTTGGGTAGCACCCATGGCTTCTGTCACTTTAAGAATTTCTTGTTGAGAAGGAAGATGAGAAGGTTGACATTGACCTTGGCCTTGTTGAAGAGTTTCATGACAGCTACACCCTCATACTGGAGCTGCAGGAGGTCCTAGGAAGGAGAAAAGGGACAGGGAAGGAAATTTAAGGGCTCCTTTTTGTGGCCCAGCCACAGTCTACAAAACACTAATATTTTGGAGCATTATACAGTCACCCAGTGACATCAGCAGGGGAGACATTGAAACCCTACTTCACAGATGAGGACACTGAGGCCAAAAGAGTGCAGTACAGTGTCCTGACCAAGTGTCAACTCAAGCAGAGCCAGGACTTGAAATCGGTCTCTTACTCAAAAGGCAAAATAGCAGAACAAAAGGAATTGGATTTAAAATCGCTTCCCTAAACACTGGCCTATGATTTAGGCCTGCTTAACATTTTAGCCCCAGAGCATATAAAATAGGGATAATACTTCAGAGCTGTGGAGAGGATTAAAGTAGGTAACACGTAAAGCCCCTGACATATGAGAGGGCTTCAAATATTGATCCTGCTTCTGACACCACGAGCCAATTCCACTTGCCCTGATGCTTGCAGTGGGGTCTGTGTCAGGGTATGGGGGGAGAGGGCTCAGGCTGAACAAAACCACCATGCTTCCCTTCAGGAACAGACAATGCTGATTAGGCAGGGAACAGAGCTGCTATCGTCCTAAGGCCAAGGGAAGTGACAAGGCCTATAGTCTCCTGGCACAGACCTCTAGTCATCTTGAGGGTTCATGGAGTGCTCCCTTACCTGGTAGTGAAGCTGAAATCGCTCCATGTCCACGCCCAGGAACTTGGCATTTACTTCGAACTTTCCCACCTCATCCCCACGGGTGATGTCAAAGATCACATTTCTGAAGCTATCAGGAACAAGATTCAAAGTGGGGATCCAATGTTTCTTTGGCCACACCCCACTCACTGCTCCTCATCCCAGGCAGTAGTGTGTGTCATGCAGAGTCTAGCCTTCCTTTCCATGCTCCCAGCCAGGCATGGCTATCTGACTTCTCCCAGTTCTCCTGTTGCCTGCCACATTATGGTTCTTTTATTTGCCTGCCCCCCCACCCCACTGTTCTGGCCTCTAGGAAACCTTTGCAGTGTCCTCTGCCATGGAGCATCTAGAACTGTGCTGGCCATGCCCACTACCCTCAACTTACTGTTGGGATGCTCTGTCTGCCTCATTATTCTAGTAGCTACTTCAACGCAGGGGCCATGCTTCCCCCCAAAACCCAGTGCCCAGCCCAGAGCTCCACCCCCAGGTTAGGCGACAGGAAGGCTCTGACATCCTGCCTTCTGAAGACACATACTGAGAGGAGGGAAGATCTTCAATTTCCACCAAGACTCCCTTCTCCAGGAGCTGGGCAGCAGTGTAATGAAGAGATGGTTGTTTCTTCCCCTTCCCAGCACTCCTGATTAAAAAAAAGGCCCCAGAGAATTCATCCAACTCTCTTCAGCACCAAAGGACACTAGTTCTTTACAGCTGGTAGGAAGGAAATTAGTCTCTGAGGAAGACTTCCCACTAGGGAAAGAAAGGAGGGGAAGCTGCATTCGAGCCCACGATGTCAGAAGTAAGACTCAAGACTAGAGTCAGGGAAGGAACATGACGTGCTGGGGTGAGATTGCCCTTCCAGAGCTGGCAGAGAGTAAAGCAAAGGCTGGCATGGATCAGGTTAGAGGTCACAGGTAACTTTCAGGGTGTGGGAAGATGGCACGTACTTTGGGTTGGGGGCCAGGTGGTCCAGGCAGGCCCGGATGTACTGGCTGTAGTAGTCACCCTGTTCCTCATAGAAAGTGGTCTTGGTGCTCAGGCCCTGGAATGTGGCCTGAAGCTTCACCAGCTCTGCCTTCCGCCTCTGCCGGTGGCGGCGCTGGTTGCGGATGTCCTGGGGTTGGGCGGAATGAGGGAGGGGGTGGGCGGAATGAGGGAGGGGGGGGGTTGGCCCTTCTGGATAGAAGGGCCTGGGGGCCTGACTCAAGCCCAAGAACAACTCCTTGTGAGAATCTTCAGGAAAAGCAGGAAGGGGAAGATCTCAAGGAAGTTTTTCCGAGGAGGAAAGTTTCAAGAATCTCATCCCCAAACCTTCAAAGGATATCTTGGGGCCTCCCACCATGAAAAGTAACTGGTTTCAAAGCTCCTTGATTTTTAGTAAAAGAGAGTTACAAGAATAATGCCCCTTTTCTAGCTAATTGTGGTAGTTTGGTTTGTGTGTCAACTTGGCTGGGCCTGGTTCAGTGGCTGGGCAGCTGGTGGTAGTTATTCCCCATGATGAGACTGGCAATCAACTCCATGGTGGGATCTACCACAAGCAGCTGAGTAGCTGCCTTTGGGTATGTGGTTTGCTTCCTGTATATAAGGAGAAGCCTTTGGGAATGGTCTCTAGCCTATGGCACTCTTGGACCCTACATGTAGCCGTGTCGTTGCTCAGCAGCCTGCTATGCTCTGCTGACCTTGGGACTTACAATGGACTTAAGTTAATGGCCTGCCATGTGGTTTGGTAACATCGGGACTGTGCCTTTTTGACTTGTCAACCTTGGGGCTTCTCAGCTTCAGCAGCTGTCTGAATGAAGAAATGCCTCTAGGGCCAGTGGGCCAGGAGCAGGAGGCAAAGCTGGACCCCAAGGTTGAGGGGCTTCACCCAGCCCCTAGAGCCTGGCACTTTGAACTTGGACTTAAAGCTTCCTAATTGTGAGAGAATAAACTCCTGTTTGTTAAGGCCATCCCATTTGTGGTATATTCTTGTCAGAGTGGCACTAGGTAACCAGAACACTAATTTTAAGATTTTCCTTTCAAAGTCTTAAGATAGAGGTCTCCCTTCTTCTAAAAAACCCACTGCCATCAAATCATTTCCCTTCTGGCTGGTAACAATTGTGGGTGGGCACCAGGAAGAAGCTTTTCCCCAGGGTATCAATATTACACGTGTGTGCACACACACACACACACACACACAGAGATTCTAGGCCTAGGTTGTTACCTTGGCCAGCTCATCCACCAGCCCCTGGTAGTCGCTGGCTTCACTGACCAATCCCAGGACCTCAAGCCGGCGCAGGTTCCGCAGGACACGCCTTTGCTTCTCTGCCAGTGGTAGGAGGGAGTGAGCTGTCAGTGAGCGGTGTCGCCACAGCGGTTCAGGGGTCTGGGCCTCACAGGCCTGGCGCCGGCCCATCAGCCGCTCATGAGCCACTTCCTGCCGGGGAGGGGGTGGTGTGTTGCAGAGAGACCGGAGGGGTCTGCCATGGCCTACCATCTTGCCCCCAAGCTAGGCCAGATCCCCAGGGATACTAGCAACAAGGAAATCTTCTAGCAACAAGTACCCTTCAAAAAGGGTACTTCTCTGTCATCAGGAAGTACCCCCGGAAGGTCAGCATCTGGGGAAAGGGATGTGGGATGGCAACACCATAAACATGGAAGGCATTATGGATCTTCATTGGGCAGGGAGTGGTCTGAGGGGGCCCATACAGAAGCTATAGGATAAAGGACTAGTGCCTAAGGCATTTGACTGCTAACTAGAAGGCTGGCAATTCAAATCCACCAGCCACTCCTCGGAAGGAAGGTTGGACAATCTATTTCCGTAGTGATACTGCCTTGGAAACCCAAGGTTGCTATGAGTTGGATCTGACTCGATGGCAGTGAGTTTTTTTTTTTTTTTTTTGGACAGACACTGGCTGGGATTTCCAAACAACAAAGCTTTGTGATGGCACAAGGTTTTTTGGGGGCATTTTCCCTCCATCTGTCCTGTGTTTTGGGACATGCCTCTACTAGCTGTTACCACCTTTTCTCCGGGAAGCCCCTGGCTTAGTCTTCTCTCCAGCTGGCCCAATTTGCCCTCGGTCCTCCACCCACTTACTTACCACCTTCTCCTACCTCTAGGCCTTCAAGCAGACTCCTCTCTGCTGAGCGCCAGCCCTTCTATGCTCGATAGGCTTCCCAGACTGCCTCTTGGCACTCCCCTCACAGCCCCTAGCACTGACATAAGGGCCAGGTGTCCTCCAGAACTTACTCTTGTTTCAATGTGTAGGGAGTTGGGAAGGAGGTAGAGGCTAAAGCTGTTCTCAGCCTGTAGGGTAGGTCCCTGGGGGCAGAGGCCATGGCTAGGTAGAGCTCCCATTACTGGTAAGCACAGGTATCAACTTGTGACAGACTGTGGGAGAGGTTCAGGGGAAGGAATCAGCAGTGCTGGTGGGGTGAGGTGGGGCAACGAATGAGACAGTACCCGTCGGCTAGCCCAGCTGCACTCACCTGCTCTCTGGAAGCCGAGACGGACAATATCTCCTTGAGGGAATCCCCAGAGTGGAACTGTATGATGTCAGCCAACATCTGCTTGGTGCTACAGGAGGAGGGGAGTGATGGGAGCTGGCTGAGGCAGGAAGGGAAGGGTCTGGACATGGGGCTGGCCAGGCAGCAGAAAGCAAGTGGACCTTGGCTTGCATATAGCTGCCAAGGATGTTTGGAAGGTCAAGAAAGCGAGTGAGGAGAGGAATGGCCAGGAAGTGTTGTGAGGAGAACGCAGCCTAGGAGGGAGACCTGGAAGGTGGTTGGTTGATGGGTCTAATACAGAACTCCTCATAGTTCTGAACACACTGTGTCCTCTTATACTTCTGTGCCCTCTGCCTAACTCTTCCCTCCCCCCATATTGTCTTCATTTGAATCCTTCAGCTGAAGCACTCATTTCTTCCTCTGTGAGTCCTTTTTCAACCAAGATGTCCTTTCTCCTGAGCTCTTAAAGCACCTGATAACCACTTCTCTATTGGTGGCTCTCTGACTGTGTCTTCATCTCTATCCCTACTGGGCTATAAGCCCTTTGATGGTAGGACAAAGGAGCACACCTAGCTCACTTGTTTACCGAGTGAGTGAATGAATTAATGAATGAATTGAGGGGCGTGCTTTGTTGACAGGGAGTTTGAGCTGGGAATTTTAAAAGGCTCCTCTTCTGTCTAGACGGCCAGCCCAGCCCTGCTGAGGGCCCTGCCTCATCTTTGCAGAACTGAAGAAGAAAACCTCCATGCCCATCTCCCCACCAGCACTCAACAAGGACCAAGAATTAGAACATGAGCTCTACCACCGACCAGCTGGGGGACTTTAGGCAAGTCACTTAACTACTGAGCTTTTTTCCTCAATGGTGAAACAAGGAAACCACCATCTACCTCATAGCTTGTCCTGTGATTAAATGATAACATGTAAAAAAGCACTTGGTAAATAGCATAACAATATGCAAACATCCATGGTTACCAATATCTTAGCCATTCCTTTGCCTTCAGCTACAACACAGCAAAAAGCTGAGAAGGAAAACAGCTGAGACTGTAGCAAAGGGGAATGCTAGGTAGACTTCAAGGAGAACTTCCTAAAGAAGAAGAGAGCTGCCCAGGGGAGCAGGGGCCGAGGTCAGTCTCACCAACCTCAGAAGCAGGCTCTGGGCATTGGTATCATCAATGTCTGTTTCTAGCCCTTCAAACTTGTTGGTGAGTGTCAGGGACACTTCTAGCTTGCTCAGATCCGTGTTCCCATCTGCAGCTATGTTCTCCCCTGAGGCGGGGTGAAGAATGAGAGAGAGACAAACAGACACAAACAGATGGGGTCACAGTAAATATGCTTCTCCACGTGCCAAGCTTCTTCTAGGAAGCTTTCCTACCCTCAACCCTGAGCACCAATGGAAGTACTGTTACTCACAGAGCTGTGTTCTGGGGATGTGCCTCCCCGATACTCTTAGCCCTGGGTGTCCTGAGGACAGGTTGCTCTGCCTCCCTAAGCCTGGAGCTCCTGCTTCTTTCCTATCTGTCACCACCTCTACCCTGCCTTTCCACTCTTGTCAGCTGTCCCCTTCCCTATCCCACACAGCTCCTATAAAATCCCTCCTCATCAGAGAAATCTTCTGAGATTGTAACAGAGTAGAAAACTATCACTAGTCTACCCAAAACAGGCCCTTATCCCCACATCTACCTCACACAACTTCATTGCTCATTTATACAATAATACTGGGTTCCTCTGATGTCTGTCCACTCTCTTCAGATCAGTTTGTGTCCATCTCAGTACCAGACAGGAGAAGGAGGAAGAGTGTGTAACTAGCTGCCTGGCGTACATCTCAGACTGAACAAAATTTTAGAGAGAGTGTGCTCACATGCCCTGCCCACTCGCCTGCCTGCCCTTCTCTGTGCCCCCCCCCTGCAAAGCTGGCCCTAGGTGCCACGGGTGGCACGCACCAATAAGGTCAGGGACAGTGGGCAGCTCCCCAAGATCCTCCAGGAGCTCATGCAGGGGGTCACGGTGATCAGGGGCGATCCAGTCCTGGTGCTCCAGCAATAGCTGCAAGGAGGAAAATAGAGAAGATGCAGGGTCTGAGTTGGGCCACTGTAGACTTCCAAACCCCAGCTCCTACCAGCACCTTTTAGGCTGCAGCCCCTCACCCTGTGCGTGTTGACCAGCTCCCCCACAGTGATGTATACCACGGGTTTGGCCACAGCCACCATGTCTGAGTACTCGTCCATTGCAAAACGCTCTTCTGGTTCTGGTACCTGGCAGGCTCGGCAGATGAACTTCCTATCTCCAAAGGAGGGCATGTGAGACAGTGCCTCCCAACATGCTTTCCATTCCCATTATCCTTCCCCCGGCCCTCTCCAGTGACTGTTCAAGCCAATTCTAACTCTCCAGCTCTAGCTTCTGCCCCTCTGTCCTGCCCTACCTTTCTCCAACGCCCCTGCGAGCCAACTTCCTTTAACAGTCCTTTTTTCTCTCCACTGGGGAGTCCTTCTAACTCTCTTCTAGCCCACTGACTATCCTCTTTACCTCTTCCTGGATTCCAAGGAGAAGTAGGCCAGGAAGGAGGATGAGAGGAGAATAAGGAAACAGGGAGGAGGGATGCCAAGACCCAAGACCTGAACTTCAGATGCGTCTCCTCCAGATAGTTGTTCAGGACCCATAGGTGCTGGCTCTCCCCAGAGAAGGCCTTGCCAGCTGCAGCGTGCTGCAGGAGTTGAGCCACGGCTCCCAGGGTGTGGCGCTGGGGGGTGGTCAGGGCACCACCCGCTGCCATGGCCACAATGTCAAAGGCGTCAGGGGCCACTACAGCTGGGTTGAGGAAGCGGTAGTACAGGAGATTCCCTACGACCTGAAGACAGAGAAGACTATCCCAGAAGTGCTCTGAGGTCTGCCCTGATAGCCCCAGGCCCATTCTCCCAGCTCACTCATTTGAAAGAGACCACCTGAGCCAATATCCTCATTTTATAGAAAACAGATCCAGAGCAGGCTGGCAACTTGCTCAAGGTCACACATCAAGAGCTGGAACTAGAACTGAAATCTCCAGACAAGTCCAGGATTGTCTACTCTGTTAGCTAGTGTCCCGGTGCCTTTCAAGCTGCCACCTGAGGTCCTGCTGGTGAGCCAGGGCCGATTTACAGGTGAATATTTTCTTTCTTGAAATTTTATGGCATAGGGTTTTCTGTCCTTTTGTCTGAGTCTGAGGAGGAGGGGATTATAAGTACCAGCAGGGTAAAGGAAGGCTCAAGAGGTGGGGGAGGGAAGATAACACTTGCCTTATAGACCTCACTCTCTGTGGCATCAGGGAACTTCTCCATCAGGGTTGTCTTCAGGACCTTGGCCACATATCGCATCCCGTACCTGGGGACAAAGCAACAGGTACACTGTGGCTCTGTCCATCTCTATCAGAGCTCAAGGCATGAGCACCTGCCTGCCTTTTCTTCCCCAGGCTCAGCCACGCCACAGTGGAGCTCAAGCACTGTCCCTCCACTGTATATAGCCAGCTACCTGCTGCCTTCCTCCAAACATCTCTGGCCTCCCTCCTCCCCACTGCCTTTGTGCCAGTACCCAGGACCAGGGCTCTGTCATCCACCAAGCTCTTACACAGCCTGCAACCTAGCCTGAGATGCTCTTCTTTGATGGCCTCTTAATATCCCATGCAGAACATTCCAGATCCCATATCCATTCCCACCTTCCCCCACAGAGGCATTTTAGCCTATACCTTGGGTATCTGATACCCATAGTTAAAATCTTGTCTCAGGACAGCTCTGAGGCTACCAACTGTGTCACTTATTACACAGCACCTGTGAGAGTCCTGGTCTGGGCTAGATGCAGAACCCAAAACAATGAACTGGGAGAAGCTGTGGGCTCCAGTCCTGACTACCACTAAACAGAGATCATCCTCAGCTATTTCCTTCCCCTTTGTGAGTTTGTTTCCTGGTCTGAAAAATGGGAATGATGATTCTTGCCCTCCTAACCTCACAGGGTTTTTGTGATAGTAATATATAATGGTAGAGTGCTATTTAAATGTGCTAGACCTTATTATTCTTCTTCTTCCCATTATAGATCTACCACCTACAAATTTAATTAAATTCATTTAAAAGCTATTTCCACCTCCTGGGGTACCAGAGGCAGAAGTTCACAGCTCATTGCGTACTTTCCTTTAGTTGGCCTAGGGCAACCTTCTCTGAACCTTAATTGTAAATCTTTAGCCCAGTTCTCTGGGTCTGGAGAGCTGATTATGAATTCTGCAGGATCTTCCCTCCGGCATCCTTACTCTGTCCCGTGTAGCACTGAGCACCAGGAATGCTGGCTGGTTGAAAGATGGATATAGATCATGTCCACCTTGCCACATTTTCATTAATTTGCTTTAGAAAAGTCATATGTTAACTAAAATTTAAGAATATCAGTTCATACTCAACCTTAAAGGCCTAGTTTAAATTGGGCTCTGCCACTTATGGGTGGTATGATCTAGGCAAATCATCCAGTTTATGACCTTCAGTTTTCTAATCTATAACATGGGGAACACTGGCTATATCTTTGGGTTATGAAGCTAAAATAACCATATAATGATAATAATAGCAACTCATAAAACTGAGTTTGTCACATGCTGATTTTACCACATTGAATCCTTATAGCAAGACCATGAAAGCAGATAACGATAAACTGTTTTCTTAGTTTGAAGATTTTTTTTTAACTTTGTGAACTGAAGAGTCCTATTTTCTCCCTATCTACTTTCAGACAACGTCTGTCTCCATGATCATTTTAGGTTCCTTTCTCTAGCTGCAGTGATGTCCTGATGAGCTACAAACATGCATGCTGTAGTCCAGTTCAACTCTCTAGCAGGGGCTTCAAGCATCCTCCAGGCTTCTCCTGGAGTCCCTTTGACTCTCAGCTCCATTTCCCTCCTGCCTCCCTCCCTTCACTGTTGCTCTGCTATTCCCATCTCAGCCTGACCCTCTTGAGAGCCCCTGCCTGGGCTGGGGTGGAGCTGCCCTACATACGGAATTTGGTCTACAGATGAGATGATGGCTATAAGAAACTTTTCCGTCATGGTGAGCAGGTTGCGGATGGAGATGTCCAGTCTTCTCTGGACCTCAGGGTGGCTCAAGGCCTGCTCTGGGGTGATGTCATAGGGGAGGTGGCTGTGGACAGAGAGATAAGACATCAACTGGAGGGCCCCCGCCCCAACTTACTTTCAAAATCCATACCCCTTAAACTCTTCATCTAACAGAAGTCATATAAACATGCTAAGGGCAGCCCAGCATGCTAAAGGGGGTCAGACCAGAATCAGGGAAAGGACTCCGAGAGGACTGGAGAGATGTAGGTGGAAGGTGAAGAGTAGGGAGGTGGAAGGGAATAGAAAGGAATGGAGAACCTGGAGATCTGTGGAAAGACTTCCCGGAAAGGGGAACTGGGAGGAAACCAGGATACTGCTCTGCATCTAGTCTTTGGCAGATGGGGCAGGAGGGAAGGTTGGGTCCTACCTACAAGAATCTGGTCCCACCCAGAGCAGCCACCAGTATGGCCTTCCGTCCTCAGTAGCTCCATTTCTCTAATACTTGCTCCCCTGAGTAATTCCCCCACTCTATTTCTCCCACTATGGCATTTGCCTATTCATCTGTAAGTCTGAATATTCATCTATACTCCTATCAATCAGGATCCATAGCCCAACTCCCAGTAAATTTATATCATATCATTTGCAAGCATTGGCACAGCAATTAGAACATTTGCATATTCATCTGTGCTCATTCTATGTTAAGCCCACTATGTCTGGAGTTATCTCCATGTTAATTACCAAAGGGGGGTCTAAAAGGCTACCTTATTTATTCCTATAAGGCTGGTGTCATATTTGTATAAATAGCATGCTCATTTATATGCTATCTTCAAAGTATATCAAGCCTCCCCAGTGGGGACCAAGACCAAACTGATCTAAGAGAGCTCTCCCTCTGCCCTGTCTGCTCACCTGCGTTGCCCTGTCTGGGCCTCAGTCTGGTTGATCCAGTTCTTGTAGAGGTGAACAGGGTCTGTGTGGACACTGAGCATCTTGTCCTCCAGCACATCCTGGATAACCTTCCCCAGGATCTCCTGCAGGGCACTCTGACCCCGCCCATTTCGGTAAAATCTCACCACCAACCTCACCACTGTTGGGTGGCCTGTCACCACATCCTGAGGCTCGTCCACCTTTGACCTGTGGTTCAAGGAGTCATTGAAGCTGGTCTCCCACCTCTGTGTAAGACAACCAACTGCTTTTCCCTTTTGAGATGTTGGCTCCTAGAAGCTTTCTCTAGTGTCTCCCACCTGAAGGAAGGCCCTGATGTCACCATCTCATCCTTCGTATTAACAAGCTAGCCCTTATCCACCCATTCTGTTGTCCTCGGAGATGTCTTACAGTTTCCATAAGAGGCAGGGAAAAGAGGTCTTAGGATTTCTTTTCTACATTCAAATCTCAACAGTCATTTTGTGAAGGAGCCAACATTGTCATCTCTTACCCTATTCCCTTCCCATCAGGAAAACCTACTTGATTTCCTCCTGGAGTGCTGTCTTGAACAGCTGGAGCAGGAGATAGGCCTCTCGGCGGTTGGAGGCATAGTTGTACAGAGTGAAAATCACTGACTCCATGAACTTGGTGGTTTTGTTCTGTGGCATCTGAAAGATCAGCTTGGCCAGGTAGATGGGTTGAGTCTGCAAGCAATGGGGAAGTCAGGAAGGGCTGATAATGCAACTCAAGGACTAGTGATCAGATAAAGAAAGGCTTTCCTAATGGAAACTTGGAATAGAGAAAGCACTGTCACACTTTCTCAGGGTACTGGAAATATTCCAGAAAAACAGGGGAGGAAATAGTCTTTTTCCCTTGGGACAAAGCATCAAGATTGTGGGAAAGGACATCCTGCATGGAGGAAAAGACACACACATGAAAGCCTCAAGGTCCCAGGCCCTCAGGGGATGGTGGAGACTTCTCCTTCTAAAGTCCTCTGCTCACTTGGAGTAGGTAGAAGAGGTGCTGGTATGCTTCTAGTTTCTGCCGTTTCTCTTTGCTCAGCGACTTTAATCCCTTCTGCTTGTCCAGAACCATCATATCCGACAGCTGTTCCTTATTCTTCTTGGTCAGCTTCTTGCAGTGGGAGACCACCTCCTGCAGGGGTAGGGGAGCGGGTGATACAACCCAGGCCAGCACAAAGCACAGAACATATGGTCTAGAATCAGCGGCTTGGGGAGCCAGGGTTTTCTGCTGTTCAATGAATAGGCACGAGCTGGGGGAAATTAAATGGTTCTGGGGTGAGGAAGGGCCCCCCCTACTGCCCTGAGAGTCCATCTGGCACTTCTGTTCTCACAGGAGTGAGTCTTTAAAGAGAATTGGGCTGTTAGGCTAAAGCATCACGTCTATTGGTTTTTACTATTATTTCTTATTAGACTATTGTACAAATCTGAGGTGGGGATATTACTATGCCCATCACTGCATATTTGTATGGTAATTGACAGTTTAAGGAACTTTCCTACATATCTCTGCATTTGGCCTGGTAGAACAAGCACTCTCATTATTCCCACTTGACTAATGAGGAAACAGACTTAGGTTAAAGGATCAACCCCATAGTTCCTCCTATCACTAGGAATTAGCAAAGCCAGGCATTCCAATTCTGTGTCCAGTGTTCTTTCTGTTACAGCACGTGCCCCCAACAAATGACTTACTCAGAGGGCTACTGGCACAAGGACTCGAGCCAAGTGATATTTTTCGAAGATTTGATTAGTGACCAGGGAATGGTCAGTGTCACCTATTCAGAGGTGTAAGGAGCTGGATGTGGGAGAGGTTGGGCTGCTGGGCCCTCACCTGCAGGGTGATCCGATTCTTCACCAAGAGGCCAATCTTGATGTCCATGACGTTGAGGTCCTGCTCCAGCTGCTGATTAGACCGGATCTTCCTGACGACTTCTTTCTGGAGCTTCAGCAGCTCTGCCTCAGCCAAGAAGTCCTGCTGGCTTTGATTCAAGAGGTGGACAAATCTTCGAACCACACTGAGTGGGGGATGGGGTGTGTGAACTGAAGGGAAGAGAGGTGTCAGGATTAAACATGCCCTCATCAGAGGCCTCCTCGCCAGTTCCCTACTTCAGACATAACCCACCATCAGTACCCATTCTGCTCGAGGGCAGCAGGCTCCCAGTCAGCCCTGTCCCATGACTCTTTGTCTTTGATAACCAGGTGTGACATAGGTGCTATTCTACCCCTGCCTCTGGATTCACCCTCACTCAGTCTGGGCCTACCCTAGTGGTCTCCACACCAAAGCCAAGCCCCACTCCCTCTGATGAGCATCCCCTGCCCCCCCCCCCCCAAAAAAAAACAAACTCACTGCCATTGAGTCGATTCTGACTCATAGTGACCCCTTTTGGGTTTCCGAGGCAGTCAATCTTTATGGAAGTAGATTGCCCAATCTTCCTTCCTCAGAGTGGCTGGTGGGTTTGAATTGTCAGCCTTCTGGTTAGTAGTCAAGTGCCTTAGGCACTATGCCACCAGAGCTCCTTGATGAACATCCCAGGCCTCCTCATTTTACCTTGATTTACTCCCTACCTCTGCTGGACCAACCTGCTTCCCATCCTGCATTCCAAGCTCGCTTCTGCCCATGAGCCTCCACTCAGCCCTTCCTGTCCCTCACACAACCCTCCTCTCAGGAGTGACTGTCCACAAGGGGTGGCATGGGTACAAGAGATGCTTTTATGATACAGGGAAGGTAGGAGCTAGATGGTGATTCTCCTTGACTTTGGAATTGGTACTTGAGCAAGAGAAACCTGTGAGCTACAGAGAATGATAAGAACAAAACTAACACATGTGTATTACAGGCCAGACACTATTTTAAATGCTTTACATACTCATAACAATCCTGTGAAGTCAGTATACTACCACTATCCCATCTTACTGATGTGAACACCAAGGCACACAGAAATTAAGCAATCTGTCTCAGGTTTGACAGTTAGTAATAAATGAAGGAGTCAGATTTGGAAAAATGAATAGAACTAGGCCCTGTCTTTGTTGTTAGCTGCCACTGAGTCGATTCTGACTAAGAGTGACCCCACATGTGCAGAGTAGAACTACTCCAAAGCAGTGGTTCTATTGCCAGCCTTCCAGCAAGGAGTTAAGTGTTTAACCATTTGTGTCACCCAGGAACTCCTCAGCCCTGTTCCTAAGGATCCCCAGTCCAATAGGGAAACTAGACAAATAAACCACAATTCTTTATAATGTGATTAGTGCTTTGAGGGGAGTCTCTGGGTAGCTAAGCTCTGGATTACTAACCGAAAGGCTGGCAGTTCAATCCTACCCAGAGGGACCTGGGAAGACAGGGCTGGTGATTTGCCTTGAAAAACCTACGGAGTGCAGTTCTATTCTGCACACATGGAGTCACCATGAGTAGGAACTGACTCAATGGCAACTTATGACAGCAGTGCTATAAGAGGGGCAAGCATGAGGATCTTTGGAGAACAAAAGCCCATCTGAGGACTGAAGAAACGCTTCCTGGAGGAGGTGAGGCCCAAACTGATGTCTGTGAAAAGGAGGTGAGAGTGCACGTGGGCTGTTTCAGAAACCACTGAGATTCCAGTATGTCTGGAGCACAGTGAAGAGGACATGGGTGGTGAGGGGTGGGGTATCTGTGTGGGAGGATATTAGGGTACAGGTAGATCACAGAGAGTACTGGACGCTCCAGTCAAGAGATTGGACATCATCCTCAGGGCAATGGAGAGTCACTGTTTTAAGCATGAGAAGGATACGATCACACAGGTTTAGTGGACTAATCTAGCTATAGGGTAGAGGATGGGTCTTTGAGGAGTGAAGAATAGCAGAATCTCAGACAATCGATGGCATCTTAGATTTGAAAAAACACAGCACATTAACTCATTTAATTCTTAAAACAACTCTATAAGATTGGTACTACAGGGAGGAATAGGCAGACAAGTGACAAAGACCATCTTCAACAAAGAAAAGAAAAAACAATTTACATAGATACAGAAGATAATCCTGGAGCCCTGGGCTTTGAAAGGAACTAGACAGAAGTGGATTAGGCACCAACTAGTGGAAAAACCTGAATGAAAACAGTGAGTACAGAGACGGTCGGAGCTGCAGACTGTCAGCTACTGTGATGGGACCAACAGCCTGAATATTTCCAAGTGGTGTTGTGACCTGGAATTGACCTAAAGATCAGCCCTGGTCACTAAGGGCTGCAGGGATGACTGTGTTGGTGGCTTATGACTAGGAAGGGAAACAGCAAGGAGGGAGACAACCGGAGCTGTGGACTTTCTGCTGTCCGGAGGGTGCATTTTGTTTGTTTATACACAGCAGCCATTTTAGATATTTAAAGTGAACGAGGGCACAGACATTTTGAATGTTTATAAGCGGTAGCCATTTTGGATATTAAAGTGATAGCATTCTTATCTGGATTCCAGGGACCTAAGAATAGGCTCTGTTTGCCAAGGTCAGCAGGGACATACAAGAGGCTGACAATAGGAAAGGAAATAGGTGGTAAGTGTATAAGTGCTGTCAACTAGTGAAGAGAGGAGCGCAGCAAAGTACCCTGCTTGCGTAAATAACATACAAACAAAACAAAGAAAATGAAAATCGTGGGCAAGTCACTCCAACATACAGTCACCAATTAAATATAAACACAAAAACATCACAATGCCTCGGAGATAACAGAGCATCACAGTTCACACAAAGAAGCAAGATAAAGCAGGAGAAACAAGGAACCAGGATGCAGACCCAAAATATATCCCTGAGGAAGATGCAGCATTGGCACTTCCTAATAAGGAATTAAAAATAACTATAGTTAGGTATCTTCAATGAATTGAGAGATAGATCAAGGAAAACACAGACAAAACCCTAGAAGTATTTCAGAAGAAAATACAAAAACAAAATGACAAAATAAATGAAAAATCAGAAATGATTCAAAATCTACAGATAGAAATCCAGAATATTAATACTAAATTGTCAGAAATAGATAACACATTGAAAGGGCAAAGGAGTAGAATTGATGCAATGGAAGACAGAATTAAGATCAAAGACAAATACCTGAATTCTTCTTTGGAAAGGGATCAGTCAGAAAAAAGATCAAAACAAAATGAGGAAAGCCTAAGGTTCATGTGGGATACCATCAAAAGGAATAACCTACATGTCATTGGAATCCCAGAATAAGAAGAGAAAAATAAAACCACTGAGAAAATTGTCCAAGATTTGTTGGAGGAGAACTTCCCTGATATGATGAAAGATGAGAATATATCCATTTAGGAAGTCCAACAAACCTCAAACAGGATAGACCCCAAAAGAAAATCACCAAGACACATCATCATCAAACTCACCAAAACCAAAGACAAAGAAAGAGAGCAGCACGGGAAAAACGAAAAGTTACCTTCAAGGGGCAACCAATAAGACTAAGCTCAGCTTTCTCGGCAGAAACCATGTGGGTGGAAGACAATGGGATTGTATATATAAAACCCTGAAAGAGGAAAATTTCCAACCAAGAATTATGTCCCTCAAATATGATGGTGAAATTAGAATATTTCCAGATAAGTAGAAATTAAGGGAATTTGGTAAAACAAGAGCAACCTTACAAGAGATACTAAAGGGAGTCCTATGGACAGAGAAGCACAACAGCCAACAACAACTGACCGTTAATACACATGATGATATAACCCAGAAACCAACCCAGCTATGGAAGTATCCAAAGTAAAGAAGCCTACAAGATTGTAAACAGGGAACCAGAGACAGCAATTGACAAATGAGGACAACTACAAACCAAAAAGAGTGGAAAAAACTGTGTTGTTACAGACTTCTAGATGGTAGGGATGTCAAGTCAACAAGAAGATAGAACGGACTGTTCTAAACTTGGGAAGAAAACTATAAATCACAGGGTAACCTCAAAGAAAAATGATAAACCTTCACATCAAAATAAAAAAGAGGACCAGCACAAATATTTAACAAAAACTAAAACAATAGCAACAAAGGAAGAGATAACATGATTCATAAACAAAATGAGCTCAGCACAGAAAATTATATGGAACAAAGAGATCGACACCACGACAAAGCACATAACAAAAATGACAGTATCAAATTCATATTTGCCGATAATTACATATCTGGCAAGTGACTTATCTCTAAGATTTATAGAAAACTCCAACATCTCAACACCAAAGGAATTAATAATCCAATTGAAAAATGGGCAGAAGACATGAACAGACACTTCACCAAGAAGGATATTCAAGTGGCCAACTAATACATGAAGAGATGCTCACAATCATTGGCCATTAGAGAGATGCAAATCAAAACAACAATGAGATACCGTCTCACCCCAGCACTGAAGGCAAGGTTCAATGAGACAGAAAATAACAAATGCTGGCAGGGATGTGGAGAGATTGGGACTCTCAAACACTGCTGGTGGGACTGTGAAGTGATACAACCACTGTGAAAAGCAATATGACGATTCCTTAGAAAGTTGGAATTGGAGATACCATTTGACCCAGCATTCCCATTACTAAGTATATACCTAGAGAGGTGAGAGCCGAGACAGGAACAGGTATATGCACACTCATTTTAATCACAGCACTATTTATGATAGCAAAAAGATGGAAACAACCATCTTTTTACGTGTCCATTAGTGGAAGAGTGGACGACCAAACTACGGTACACACACATAATGGAATGCTTTGTAGCACTAAAGGATAATGTAGAGTCTACAAACACTGCATAATATGGATGACTTGGAAGATATTATGCTGAGTGAAATAAGCCAATCACAGAAGGACAAATATTAGTTTGTTGTTGTGGAGGGTCAAGGAAAGGTTTATATATGGAGGGAAACTTTCTTTGTTGCTTGCAGGGGTGAGGGGAGGAACACTGCAAAAAAAAGAAAAAAGCATTGACCCATGTCACTTTAGGTTTGTGTATTTCACTGTACATAAATTACATTTCAATAAAATGCATTAAAAAAAAAAAAGTTTGGTACTACAGTTATCCCCATTCATAAATGAGAAAACTGAGGCAAGAAAGAAGTTGAGTAACTTCTAGGGCCACATGGCTAGTAAGTGACAGAGCTCTGCGTGGCACCTGATTTGCTAATGAAGTTGGAGACAGAACTGAAAACAAATTCTTCTAGAAAAACTATAAACTGAAGAGAAGAAGACAAAGGATGACTCAGGCAGTGGAATTAGCATAACAAAAGCAAAGCAAAAGGAAAAATAAGGAGGGCCAGTCTGGGAAGAGGTGAAGGAGGGAAAGAAGCTAGACCGTCGGAAGCAGGTGGGCCCGAATGTCCATGGCCAGAAAAGGGGCCAACAGAGCCATGGTGAAGGAGATGACTCCTGAAGAGGACAGCCTCAGGTCCAGAAAGGAAAGGGGCCTACTTCTCTAGGAACCTAGGAGCTGGAATTGTTGTTGTTAGGTGCCTTGAGTTGGCGTCAACTCATAGCGACCCTGTGTACAACAGAACAAAACACTGCCCAGTCCTGTGCCATCCTCACCATCCTGGCTATGCTCAAGCCCAACTCTGCAGCCACTGTATCAATCCATCTTTTTGAGAGTCTCTCCTTTTCTGCTGGCCCTCTACTTACCAACCATGACATCCTTCTCCAGGGAATGGCCCCTTCTGACAAGATGGCCAGTACATGAGACAAGTCTGGCTATTCTCACTTCTAAGGAGCATTCCAGCTGCACTTCTACCAAGACAGAATTGTTTGTTCTTCTGGCAGTCTATAGTGTTTTCAGTATTCTTTGCCAATACCACAATTCAAAGGAATAGATTCTTTTTCAGTCTTCCTTATTCATTGTACAGCTTTCACATGCATATGAGGCAATTGAAAATACCATGGCTTAGGTTAGGGGTACCTTAGTCTTCAAAGTGACATCTTTGCTCTTTAACACTTTAAAGAGGTCCCTTGAAGCAGATTTACACTGTGTAATACAACATCTGATTTCTTGACTACTGCTTCCATGGGTGTTGATTGTGGATCCAAGTAAAATGAAATCTTTGACAACTCCAATCTTTTCTCCATTTATCATGATGCTGCTTATTGGTCCAATTGTGAGGATTTTTGTTATTTTTATGTTGAGGTGTAATCCATACTAAGGCTGTAGTCTTTGATCCTCACTACTAAGTATTTCAAGTCATCTTCACTTTCAACAAGCAAGGCTATGTCATCTACATATCACAGGTTGTTAATGAGTCTTCCTCCAATCCTGAAGCTGTGTTCTTCATACAGTCCAGTTTCTCAGATTATTTGCTTAGCATACAGACTGAATAACCGCCAAGTCAGAACCAACTCATATAACAACCCCTCCTTTGGTTTCCAAGGCAGTATCACTATAGAAGTAGACTGCCTGATCTTCCTTCCAAGGAGTGACTAGTGGGTTTGAACCTCCAGCCTTCTGGGTAGCAGTCAAATGCCTTAGGCATTATGCCTCCAAAGCTCCCTACAGACTGAATAAATATAGTGAAAGGATACACCCTGATGCACACCATTTCTGATTTTAAGCCATGTAATATTCCCTTGTTCTATTAGAACAACTGCTTCTTGGTCTATGTACAGGTTCCTCATGGCACAATTAAGTGTTCTGGAATTCCCATTCTTCCCAATGTTAGCCATAATCTGTTATGATCCACAGAGACTAATGCCTTTGCATAGTCAACAAAACACAAAAACATCTTTCTGGTACTCTTTCCTTTCAGTCAAGATCCATCTGACATCAGTAATGATTTCCTTCATTCCACGTTCTCTTCTGAATCCAGCTTGAATTTCTGAATTAACAGTTCCCTGTTAATATATTGCTGCAATCATTTTTGAATTATCTTCAACAAAATTTTACTTGTGTGTGATAGTAATGACACTGTTTGTTAATTTCCACATTCTGTTGAATCACTTTTCTTTGGAATGGGCACAAATACGGATCTCTTCCAGTCAGTTGGCCAGGTAGCTGTCTCCCAAATTTCTTAAGATAAACAAGTAAGCACCGCCAACACTGCATCTGTTTGTTGAAATGTCTCAATGGGTATTTTGTCAATGCCTGCAGACTTGTTTTTTGCCAATTCTTTCAGTGCAGCTTGGAGTTCTTCCCTCAAAACCATTAGTTCTTGATCATATGCTACCTCCCAAAATGGCTGAATGTTGACTAATTCTTTTTGGTACAATAACTGTGTATTCCTTCTATCTTTGTTTGATATTTCCTGCATTGCTCATTATTTTGCCCTTCAATACCACAATTCAAGGTTTGAAATTTTTCTTCAGTTTCTTTAGCTTGAGAAGTACCGAGTGTATTCTTCTCTCTTGGTTTTCTAACTTCAGGTCTTTACACATTTCATTATAATACTTTATAATACAAAGGGTGGTCTTCTTGAGCCACCCTTTGAAATCTTCTGTTCAGCTCTTTTATTTCTTCATTTCTTCCACTGACTGTGGAACAGATCATCAACTGCTCCTATGCAAGTTCAAATTAAAGCTGAAGAAAATTAAAACAAGTTCATGAGAGCCAAAATATGACCTTGATTATATCCTGTCTGAATTTAAAGATCATCTGAAGAATAGATTTGATGCATTAAACTCCAATGACTGAAGATCAGATGCATTGTGGGATGACATCAAGAACATTATACATGAAGAAAGCAAAAGGTCATTAAAAAGACAGGAAAAAAAGAAAAGACCAAAATGGTTGTCAGAAGAGACTCTGAAACTTGCTTGCTGATGTAGAGTAGCTAAAGTGAATGGAAAGAGCTGGAGGCAAATATGGGAATGAACCAAATTGTCAGCGTCACAAAAAGGAAGGGGACCCTTGAAGGCTAGACTTCTGGATTTTAAGGACAAGGACCAAGAACAGTCTGGAAGAACGTTTTAAAGGCTTTTCCTGCATGTCTAGCACATACAAGGGAATGTGAGGCAGGAAGATGAAGTTCCCTCAAGTGCTTCTCAAACTCCCCAGTGTTGCAGAAGGACTCTCAGCATGCCTCTCCTGGCTTTGTGTGTGCTGGATCACAGAGGTCAGGAGGTGGAACAGTCCATGGGCCAGGGAAGAGGATAAAGTAGAAGGCTGGAACTCTGGGTGGAAGAGAAAGAACCCTTTCTTTTTGCTTTGATGATGGCATGAGAAAAATAATATAAGCCTGGGACAGGAAGAACTGGTTAGAGGAGCATTCTCTGTGACAAGAATATTTGTTCCTGGGATAAATGGGGGGGCTTTTTTACAAATCCTGTTCCACATTCCTGTATAGACAACTTGTGACTCTGTTTCCTTACCTGTTGTGCAGTCCCAGGAGGGATATGTAGACCTGCCTGGCCCTGGAGTGATTCCAATCTCTCCTATCAAACTGGGAGATCTCCAAAGGCAGGTCTCCTCCACCTACTCCATTCACCTCAGGTTCTAAGGCATGCTCAAGTATGGGCTATCAGCTATCAGGGAAAGAAAAGGGCTCAAAAAGGCCAGACAACTTCTCTAAGTCCCAATTTGTAAACTTTGGAGTGGTGTGACTTTCTGTAGGCTGACTGTTGAGAGCCACGAGACTTGCACAGCCAGTTTACTCACACATGCAGAGGGTAGATCACTCCGCTTACCTAACATCCTGTAGTCATCCCGGGCTTTCCTAGCTCGGAAAAATGCCTGGATCTTCACCACAGCATTGATCTATCATGAACACAGACGGGAAAAAGGTCAAGGTTGCCCTTGATCTGGTCTCTTGGGTAAAGGATGGATATGCGGGAGCAGGATGGCACTCACATTCTTCCGGAAGTGGCGCAGACACCTCCGGTATCGTCTCCGAGCTGCCCACATCCGGGTCCAAGCCTGGATCTGGAAGGAGAGACACAATACATCAGAGCTCTGGGTTTGAGGGCCCATCCCTCAGACCCGGTCCCGTTCAGCCAACTCCAGAGAGCATAAGGAGGTGAAAAGAGTAAGAAATTGTTTTCAGAGGTCCTTCAAGAGAGACAGGGGCCCACACATGATCTAGTTACCTTGATCACAGCATCCACATTTGCTTTTAAATACCGCAACCTCTCCAAGTAAATCTTCCGCTGCTTGCGACCCCTCCAATGAGCCTGCACACCAAGAAAGGAAAAGAGGTAATCCTAGCTGGTCCCATTAGTCCAAGAGGCTTTCAGGGAAAAGCCCTGCCCAAGGCTCTCCAGGGAAGGGGTAGGGGGAGGCAAGCAGTAGTGAAGGGAAAACTGTCTGTTCTCAAAGCACTTCCAACTTTATGGGGAAGTCCAAACATCTGTGCCCTCTGCCACATGCCCTGGTACCAGCACACATACACACCCACATACATGTACCATAAAATCAAACACACATACCTACACTCACTAACACCTCCTTACAGAAACACAACCATAAGATACAGGCTTAAAAGATATTAATAAAGCATACACCTACTTGCCAACTTCATCCCTCCAGAATACATTCACACACCCATACACAGACCACCCCCACACCATCACACAATCTACCCTCTCTCATACACACAAAGTAGTTAAGAGCAGTCTGGTGAGCCACATGGTTTCATGGGTGGAGAATGTGTACAGGTACAGGGTTATATGCCCTTCTCTGCCAATGGCAATCTGGGCAGCAAGTCACTATTGCTCTCATAACTCATACTTCACAACTACACCATCCAGCTCCTGAGACCATCTCAAAGCAGATCTCCCCTCCATGCCCCCAGTAACTCAGCTGTCAGTCTGATGGCCTCTCCCCCTGACTGGCCTGATACAAACAGTCCTGCTAACCATCTCCTCCATAAATCACAGCCTCCTTATCTCTAAAACACAAATCCCATGGCTCCCTTCTGTTTGAGAGCCTCTGCCCTCTCGCCCCAAGCTGCTGTGAGATTAATCTTCCTAAAACACCACTTGGACTACATCTCTCCCAGCCTCAAAGTTTCCAGAAGGTCTCAGCCTCTGACCTCCCACTCCCCATCTGATTTTCCACTGGCAGTCTACCTTCTTAAAGATTCTAGCTCCACCAGACATCTCACTTTCTTCTAAACATGCCTTACACCTTTCTGCCTCAACCCGTTTGTGCCCACTCCAGCCTCCCAGCTCTGTCACTACCCATGGAAATCCTTCTTGTCTAGGGCCCATGTCAAACATCTCCCAGGTGCTCAGGTCCTGGGGGATACTCCAATACAGACATTGAGTGTCTCTTTCATCTGATTGTCCTCTTAGCCCTTCTCTAGAGCCAATTCTCCTGGCAAGGCTTACACTGACCAATCTGTTGGGACAAGATGTAAAAGAGGCAGTTTGGCACCATATCAGCTGTCCTAGAGGCTAGGGAGTACCATTTCTAGGCAAAGAGGTCTCCTCTCTGCTCCTTCCTCCTACCTTAAAGAGGAGTGTGATGGTTAAGGTTGTATGTCAGTTTGGTTGGGCCTGACTGAGTGGCTGGGCAGCTGGGTGTAGTTATTCCCCATGGTGAGATTGTTAATAAAGTCCATGATGGAATCTACTAGAGCAGCTGAATAGCTGCTTTAGGGATGTGGGCTGCTTCCAGTATATAAGAAGCAACTTTGAGGAAGGTCTCCAGCTGATGGGATGCTTGAACCCTACATGTAGTTGAATCATTGTTCAGCAGCCTCCCATGCTGCCCTGCCAATGTTGGGACTTTTAATGGACTTGAATTAATGGCCTGTAGTGTGGTTTCATGATATCGGGACTATGCCTTTTCATTTTTCAACTTTGGGTTTGTCAGCCTCAGCAGCCAGCTACTGCCTGAGTGAAGAGATGCCTCTAGCTTCAGGGGGCCAGGAGTAAGAGGCAGAGCAGAAGCCCAAGGTTGAGGGGCTTTCACCCAGCCCCTAGAGCCCAGCACTTTGAACTCGGACTTCTATCCTCCAGAACTATAAGAGAATAAACTCCTGTTTGTTAAAGCCATCTCATTTGTGGTATATTACTGTCAGAGAGTTATTAGGTAATCAGAGCAAGGAGGTCTCCCATTTAGATTGGTCACAATTCAGGACCCTGAATGGGGCTGCATCTAGGGTCAGAGCTTTGAGAAGAGATGAAAGTCTCAGAACAACCAAGTGGCCTCATTTCTTATTTGTACTTCTCCTTAGTTAGAGGGTAAGTGGTCTGAAGCTTTGGGTCACCTTTCCCTTTCTGCCTCCCAGGACCCAGGTCAAAGTCAACACAACTTTCACACTGGTAGAGAAAGTTCCCTCTGACTCCATCTCCTCTTCCACAGTTGATGTGACTTTTTGTCTCCTTAAAATCAGTGTGAAATTCCAGTATGGACTCAGGAAAGAGGAATTTCTATGATCCAGACCACTAAATGCAGATTGCAAAGGTTCTGAATTGGGTTCTAGGACCAATGCCCCCAAATGTAACATCTCAGAATGGCAACTACCAATGGAGCACTTGCCAGACCAAGAGGTACATTTAATTTCCCCACTTAATCCTCACGAGTACGATCATTACAAATGAGCAAACTAAGTGTTGGAGAAGGCCCACAGTAAGATGCCCATAGTCATATGGCCCACAAGTGGTAGAACCAGGAGGCAAATTCCATCCTCTGACTCCAGAGCCTGAGCTCTCAATTACCACCCCACATGCCCTAATCATAATCGAGGGCCATTTTTCCAGTCACAACTGCATATCCATTTCCCGTGGGGTCCTCTGGTGTTGTCCTTGTATCCTTAATATCCCAACATCTAACATCAACTGTATTCCAGTTCCTGCAAGGGGAGAGATGTGATCACTCACTGTGTGTCTCATGCCCAGCTCACAACCTTGCCCAATGCTGACTGGCATGCTTTGCAAATACTTGCCATGTAAAAATGTTTATTAAATAAAGTATCTGTGCATTGGCACCACCTCCATGAGGCCCTCCAGATCACATCTGACCTAGGGAGGTCTCTGTTCAACTCACATCATCCCTGGTTTGTACAGTGCCCTGGTTATCTTCCGAGTTGGCCTCAAGTCCCAGTTACTTCAGGGTAGGTCTCAGAGGCCACACAATACCATCCATACAGTGGAAGAAAAAAAAAAAAATAGAAAGGGCTAACTGGAGGGGAAAGAAAGAAGACTCTTCTTTTTCTAAAAGTATTCTACCCCTCCTCTGTTAAACCACTATCACCTCTTCTAGCCAGGAAGTCCTCCCTCTTACTAAATCTTATTTCACTCTTCCTTTGGGCAAGCTAAAAAGCAGCTCTCTGTACTCTGTAGAAAATGATGGTAGCCAGCACCTATACCATGTTCTTACCTACCTACCAGGTACTGTTCCATGCATTTTACAGATATAAACTTACTTAATCCTCGTAACAACCCTATAAAGTGAATGCTATCATTCTTCCTGTTTTGCAGATGAAGAAACTGAGGGCCAGGTGAGATTGAGGTAAAGAGAGAGCAAGTAACTCGTCAAGGTCACACAGCTAATAAGTAGTGGAACTGGGATTCAAAACCAGGTAGTCTGGTTCCAGAATCCATCCTCTTAATCACTACTCTTCAGAGGCCAAAAGATCATTACAATGGTACTCAACAAAAAGGCAGTGAGACCCTGCAGTTCAGTTAAACCCAAGTCCTGAAGACTTAGAAAACCAGAGCCCGTCACCTGGATCCTGATGATTGCTGGGATCCAGGTCCTCAGAAAGTAGGAACGCTCAGCAAACTTCTGTCGGACCAGGAAACCTCGAAGGCGGGCCTGGAGCTGGATGACAAAGCTGACATTGGTCTTCCAGAGCTTCTGGCGGTCATGAGCAGCAGTGACCTTGGTGACAGCTGACTGTAGAGTCAGGAGAGAGCCTAGTGGGTAGGAGCCTCTTCTGTAATGACTCCTCCATCCATTACCCCTCCTTTCCAGGGGCCCTGCAAACCTGGATCTCCTCCCGAGTCAGGTGGGAGGTATTGAGGCAGCAGCCTGGGGGTCGCTCCCAGGTCCCCTGGAAGGTCTGCAGATGGAAGTAGTAGGGAGTGCCATCCTTCATGTTATGTTGAACCCAGAAAGCTGTGTCTCCTAAGTAGAAGCCAAGGTGAGCAGAGAAGATTCAATGAGGAAGCAAGAGGTGACTGCAGCAGGCAAGGAGAGAGGTTCAGAAGAGGGCTATTACCTCGGTGCCGCTTCTTTGCCACGGCACCTTCCAGGACTCGCTGGTAGTCGTCAGCATAGTCAGGAATCACTCCTCGAAGGGCCACGGCGGGGTTTCTTAACACCCGTTCTGTCTGGGTTGCTTTGCCTTCCTTAACGGCCTGATTGATGGCGGCCACACCAAGAGCCACTGATAGGGACATCAGGAGAGAGAAGTCAATGCTACCTCCAGAGCACTGCCGACAGGCCCTGTGCTATCCATGGGGAAGATTCAGGGGAGGAAGACACAAAAATTCCCATCTGATGGAGGAAAGAGTACATCCCAGGCTGGATGCAGATAGAGAAAAAGAAGCACACAGCTGTGGCTGAAGGAAAAGTAGCAGTGAAAGAAGGATTCCTGGAGGAAAGTAGTATGGGACTTGGAAAAGGACAATTACCTTGTGCACAAACAAGAGATGGGCAGAGAACATCAGGACAGCTTTCTTAGTAGGAGCAGAGTGTCCAAGAAGTGAGAGTGGTTGATGTAACACTTACCTTCCAGTCACTCAAAGACAGACAGATGGATAGAGGGGCTCCAGACATTGAGGACAAACACTATCAGAACCCACACCAGAATACCAGTGCCTAGCTGCACTGATCCTGCCTATTTTTCCTCACATTCCTGCCAACACCTCTTCTCTTACCCTTAAGACTAAACATCCTCTAGCCAGAGCCGCTACTTGATTTTACATGCTCACAGTACACAGGGGACAGTGCCCACAGGAAGCCATAAAAGGCTGAAGGTGGACTGTGGGCTCTCAACTCCTGAGAATTTCCTGCCCAATTGACCGCTGAGAACTCCATCCTATGGTCAAAGCAGTAATTCTCCTATTCTGATTCTGGCCTGCCTCCACTGAGAGGCTGAAAGGAAGGATGAGGTGATGGAAAGGCTACATGATTATCTGGGCTTCTGTGAGCCCACATCTCCTCCCCTCCTCCAACAACACCCACTTGGCCCATTTACTTTTCTGAGCTGTGTTTGTGTCCTGGTTGGCTCTGACCACTCCTTGACGAATCTCCTCCAGCCACAGTACAGCTCCAGGATCTCCTGTCACCTGGCAAATTGAGAGAGATGAGAAAAGATGAGACTCCAGGCTGGCCTCCTAGACTTTCAGCCTCGCTACCCTTGGGATTAAAACTGCAGGCAGACATTGGGGGTGGAAGGGACAGAAATCCTCACTTGCCTCTTCTTTCTCCTGCACAGACAGACCTGTGGCTTCCTTGGACAGCTGCCAGGCTCAGAAGCCTCTACTTTTTCCTATTTTCCCCTCAGGCTGTCCCAAACATCAACTCATCTTGGTCACAGCACCCCAGAACCCATATGGGTTCTGTACACCCTCTTGAACCCTCAGTATCCACCACCCTCTCAATTTCCTGCCTTTGTACCTCAGCTATGTCCAGCGATAGATCACAATGAGCCGCCACCCACCCTCCCCACTCCCCATGCCCTATGCTCCAATTTGCACTTTCTCAGGCCAATCTTGACCCTGACCTTCACCTTCTCTTTCCCATTCCTACTCCTCTATTACACAAAGAAACAGGAAGATTACATGAAAGCACCTGCCACATTGGTAGACCGATGAGGCTTTTTCCCTCCCATTTGTCTCACATAATCTTAGACTCTTACCCCCTCCCAACTCTCCTCATTAGTAATAGACTTTTTTTTTTTTTAACTGTTCATAAAGAATTTGTTCTTTTTTTTTT